GGCGATGGACTGCTAATCCATTGTGCTCTGCACGCGTGGGTTCAATCCCATCCTCGCTGCTCAGGGCGCATAGCTGATGGTGACCATTTTGCCTGTAAAAGCATGGTTTATTCCTTCTGAAATCTCTTGTGGAATAAGTCAGGTAAGTTACTTTCTTTCTTTAGAAAGCCTTTCTTCCTAGACAGTCACACCAAGTACAGCTTTTCATTTTCCAGTCAATATTCCCCAGTTCAAAGGGCTGTGGGTTTTAGTCAGAGCAATTATCTATTTGTCTGAGAAACACTGCTTTGTGAAATGAAACTTTGTCATGGTGATTATGTTGAAAACATGTCATAACATTTGAGCATCTCTGCTACATCTGTATGCATTGCGTAATCACTTGTGTTGAGATTTTTTCTTTGAGGATCAAATTATGCAAAGTGATCGTCCAGGGATCAATGCTCAGCAGACAAACACTCTCAAATTCGTAAAGCAATTGGCCAACAACTCTTGAATCTACATCTCCGGAGCACTGAGTGGATGTGGCGTTATTTTTATAAAGATATAGAGAAGAGTCAACCAATATCTGAATCTGAAATTCTCTCCACTGGGTCTATTATTGCTTGTTGAAGCGATTGAAGTCACGCAATTCCATTTTTTTCCAAGTGTGAACTAATGATTACGGCCGCAGGCGACAAAGATTTTAGTTTTGCAGGACGAGGTGGCCGAGTGGTTAAGGTGATGGACTGCTAATCCATTGTGCTCTGCACGCGTGGGTTCGAATCCCATCCTCGTCGTTCAGGGCGCATAGCTGATGGTGACCATTTTGCCTGTAAAAGCATGGTTTATTCCTTCTGAAATCTCTTGTGGAATAAGTCAGGTAAGTTACTTTCTTTCTTTAGAAAGGCTTTCTTCCTAAACAATCACACCAAGTACAGCTTTTCATTTTCCAGTCAATATTCCCCAGTTCGATGGGCTGTGGGTTTTAGTCAGAGCAATTATCTATTTGTCTGTGAAACACTGCTTTGTGAAATGAAACTTTGTCATGGTGATTATGTTGAAAACGTGTCATAACATTTGAGCATCTCTGCTACATCTTGATGCATTGTGTAATCACTTGTGTTGAGATTTTTTCTTTGAGGATCAAATTCTGCCAAGTGTTAGTCCAGGGATCAATGCTCAGCAGACTAACACTCTCAAATTCGTAAAGCAATTGGCCAGCAACTCTTGAATCTACATCTCCAGAGCACTGATTTGATGTGGCGTTATTTTTATAAAGATATAGAGAAGAGACAACCAATATCTGCATCTGAAATTCTTCCCACTGGGTTATTATCTGCATGTTGTACTGATTGAAGTCACACTATTGCATTTTTTTTTCCAAAGTCTGAACTAAATTCCAGCCACAGACACCATCATTTGCAATTTGCAGGATGAGGTGGCCGAGTGGTTAAGGCGATGGACTGCTAATCCATTGTGCTCTGCACGCGTGGGTTTGAATCCCATCCTCGCTGCTGAAGGGTGAAGAGCTGATGATGATGACCATTTTGCCTGTAAAAGCATGGGTTTATTCCTTTGAAATCTCTTGTGGAATAAGTCAGATAACTACTTTCTTTCCTTAGAAAGGTTTTCTTCCTAGACAGTCACAAAGTACAGCTTTTCATTTTCCAGTCAATATTCCCCAGTTCAAAGGGCTGTGGGTTTTAGTCAGAGCTGTTGTCTATTTGTCTGAGAAACACTGCTTTGTGAAATGAAACTTTGTCATGGTGATTATTTTGAAAATGTTTCATAACATTTGAGCATCTCTGCTACATCTTTATGCATTGGAGAATCACTTGTGTTGTGATTTTTTCATTGAAGAATCAAATTCTGCAAAGTGATAGTCCAGGGATCAATGCTCAGCAGACTAACACTCTCAAATTTGTAAAATAATGCCCAAGCAACTCTTGAATCAACATGTCAGGAGCACTGATTGGATGTGGCATTATTTTTATAAAGATATAGAGAAGAGACAACCAATATCTGCATCTGAAATTCTCTCCACTGGGTCTATTTTATTGCTTTTTGAAGCGATTGAAGTCACGCAATTCCATTTTTTTTCCAAGTGTGAACTAATGATTACGGCCAGCAGGCTTACGAAAGTTCTATTTTTGCAGGACGAGGTGGCCGAGTGGTTAAGGCGATGGACTGCTAATCCATTGTGCTCTGCACGCTGGGTTTGAATCCCATCCTCGCTGTTCAGGGCGATAGCTGATGGTGACCATTTTGCCTGTAAAAGCATGGTTTATTCCTGCTGAAATCTCTTGGGGAATAAGTCAGGTAAGTTACTTTCTTTCTTTAGAAAGGCTTTCTTCCTAGACAATCACACCAAGTACAGCTTTTCATTTTCCAGTCAATATTCCCCAGTTCGAAGGGCTGTGGGTTTTAGTCAGAGCAATTATCTATTTGTCTGAGAAACACTGCTTTGTGAAATGAAACTTTGTCATGGTGATTATGTTGAAAACGTGTCATAACATTTGAGCATCTCTGCTTCATCTTGATGCATTGCGTAATCACTTGTGTTGAGATTTTTTCTTTGAGGATCAAATTCTTCAAAGTGATCGTCCTGGGATCAATGCTCAGCAGACAAACACTCTCAAATTCGTAAAGCAATTGGCCAACAACTCTTGAATCTACATCTCCGGAGCACTGATTGGATGTGGCGTTATTTTTATAAAGATATAGAGAAGAATCAACCAATATCTGCATCTGAAATTCTCTCCACTGGGTCTATTATTGCTTGTTGAAGCGATTGAAGTCACGCAATTCCATTTTTTTCCAAGTGTGAACTAAAGATTACGGCCGCAGGCGACGAATGTTCTATTTTTGCAGGATGAGGTGGCCGAGTGGTTAAGGCGATGGACTGCTAATCCATTGTTCTCTGCACGCGTGGGTTCGAATCCCATCCTCGTCGTTCAGGGCACATAGCTGATGGTGACCATTTTGCCTGTAAAAGCATGGTTTATTCCTGCTGAAATCTCTTGTGGAATAAGTCAGGTAAGTTACTTTCTTTCTTTAGAAATGCTTTCTTCCTAGACAATCACAACAAGTACAACTTTTCATTTTCCAGTCAATATTCCCCAGTTCAAAGGGCTGTTGGTTTTCGTCAGAGCAATTATCTATTTGTCTGAGAAACACTGCTTTGTGAAATGAAACTTTGTCATGGTGATTATGTTGAAAACGTGTCATAACATTTGAGCATCTCTGCTTCATCTTGATGCATTGCGTAATCACTTGTGTTGAGATTTTTTCTTTGAGGATCAAATTCTTCAAAGTGATCGTCCTGGGATCAATGCTCAGCAGACAAACACTCTCAAATTCGTAAAGCAATTGGCCAACAACTCTTGAATCTACATCTCCGGAGCACTGATTGGATGTGGCGTCATTTTTATAAAGATATAGAGAAGAATCAACCAATATCTGCATCTGAAATTCTCTCCACTGGGTCTATTATTGCTTGTTGAAGCGATTGAAGTCACGCAATTCCATTTTTTTCCAAGTGTGAACTAATGATTACGGCCGCAGGCGACGAAAGTTCTATTTTTGCAGGACGAGGTGGTCGAGTGGTTAAGGCGATGGACTGCTAATCCATTGTGCTCTGCACGCGTGGGTTTGAATCCCATCCTCGTCTTTCAGGGCGCATAGCTGATGGTGACCATTTTGCCTGTAAAAGCATGGTTTATTCCTGCTGAAATCTCTTGTGGAATAAGTCAGGTAAGTTACTTTCTTTCTTTAGAAAGGCTTTCTTCCTAGACAATCACACCAAGTACAACTTTTCATTTTCCAGTCAATATTCCCCAGTTCAAAGGGCTGTTGGTTTTAGTCAGAAAATTATCTATTTGTCTGAGAAACACTGCTTTGTGAAATGAAACTTTGTCATGGTGATTATGTTGAAAACGTGTCATAACATTTGAGCATCTCTGCTACATCTTGATGCATTGCGTAATCACTTGTGTTGAGATTTTTTCTTTGAGGATCAAATTCTGCAAAGTGATCGTCTTGGGATCAATGCTCAGCGGACAAACACTCTCAAATTCGTAAAGCTATTGGCCAACAACTCTTGAATCTACATCTCCGGAGCACTGATTGGATGTGGCGTTATTTTTATAAAGATATAGAGAAGAATCAACCAATATCTGCATCTGAAATTCTCTCCACTGGGTCTATTATTGCTTGTTGAAGCGATTGAAGTCACGCAATTCCATTTTTTTCCAAGTGTGAACTAATGATTACGGCCGCAGGCGACAAAAGTTCTAGTTTTGCAGGACGAGGTGGCCGAGTGGTTAAGGCGATGGACTGCTAATCCATTGTGCTCTGCACGCGTGGGTTCGAATCCCATCCTCGTCGTTTAGGGCGCATAGCTGATGGTGACCATTTTGCCTGTAAAAGCATGGTTTATTCCTTCTGAAATCTCTTGTGGAATAAGTCAGGTAAGTTACTTTCTTTCTTTAGAAATGCTTTCTTCCTAGACAATCACACCAAGTACAGCTTTTCATTTTCCAGTCAATATTCCCCAGTTCGAAGGGCTGTGGGTTTTAGTCAGAGCAATTATCTATTTGTCTGAGAAACACTGCTTTGTGAAATGAAACTTTGTCATGGTGATTATGTTGAAAACGTGTCATAACATTTGAGCATCTCTGCTTCATCTTGAAGCATTGCGTAATCACTTGTGTTGAGATTTTTTCTTTGAGGATCAAATTCTGCAAAGTGATCATCCTGGGATCAATGCTCAGCAGACAAACACTCTCAAATTCGTAAAGCAATTGGCCAACAACTCTTGAATCTACATCTCCGGAGCACTGATTGGATGTGGCGTTATTTTTATAAAGTCATGGAGAAGAGACAACCAATATTTGCATCTGAAATTCTCTCCACTGGGTCTATTATTGCTTGGTGAAACGATTGAAGTCATGCAATTCCATTTTTTTCCAATTCTGAACTAAAGATTACGGCCGCAGGCGACGAGAGTTGTATTTTTGCAGGACTAAGTGGCCGAGTGGTTAAGGCGATGGACTGCTTACCCATTGTGTTTTGCACGCGTGGGTTCGAGTCCCATCCTCGTCGTTCAGGGAGCATAGTTGATGGTGACCATTTTGCCTGTAAAAGCATGGTTTATTCCTGCTGAAATCTCTTGTGGAATAAGTCAGGTAAGTTACTTTCTTTCTTTAGAAAGGCTTTCTTCCTAGACAATCACACCAAGTACAACATTTCATTTTCCAGTCAATATTCCCCAGTTCAAAGGGCTGTTGGTTTTAGTCAGAAAATTATCTATTTGTCTGAGAAACACTGCTTTGTGAAATGAAACTTTGTCATGGTGATTATGTTGAAAACGTGTCATAACTTTTGAGCATCTCTGCTACATCTTGATGCATTGCGTAATCACTTGTGTTGAGATTTTTTCTTTGAGGATCAAATTCTGCAAAGTGATCGTCCAGGGATCAATGCTCAGCAGACAAACACTCTCAAATTCGTAAAGCAATTGGCCAACAACTCTTGAATCTACATCTCCAGAGCACTGATTTGATGTGGCGTTATTTTTATAAAGATATAGAGAAGAGTCAACCAATATCTGCATCTGAAATTCTCTCCACTGGGTCTATTATTGCTGGTTGAAGCGATTGAAGTCACGCAATTCCATTTTTTTCCAAGTGTGAACTAATGATTACGGCCGCAGGCGACGAAAGTTCTATTTTTGCAGGACGAGGTGGCCGAGTGGTTAAGGCGATGGACTGCTAATCCATTGTGCTCTGCATGCGTGGGTTTGAATCCCATCCTCGTCCTTCAGGGTGCATAGCTGATGGTGACCATTTTGCCTGTAAAAGCATGGTTTCTTCCTTCTGAAATCTCTTGTGGAATAAGTCAGGTAAGTTACTTTCTTTCTTTAGAAAGGCTTTCTTCCTAGACAATCACAACAAGTACAGCTTTTCATTTTCCAGTCAATATTCCCCAGTTCGATGGGCTGTGGGTTTTAATCAGAGCAATTATCTATTTGTCTGAGAAACACTGCTTTGTGAAATGAAACTATGTCATGGTGATTATGTTGAAAACGTGTCATAACATTTGAGCATCTCTGCTACATCTTGATGCATTGCGTAATCACTTGTGTTGAGATTTTTTCTTTGAGGATCAAATTCTGCCAAGTGCTAGTCCAGGGATCAATGCTCAGCAGACTAACACTCTCAAATTCGTAAAGCAATTGGCCAGCAACTCTTGAATCTACATCTCCAGAGCACTGATTTGATGTGGCGTTATTTTTATAAAGATATAGAAAAGAGACAACCAATATCTGCATCTGAAATTCTTCCCACTGGGTTCACATCTGCATGTTGTACTGATTGAAGTCACACTATTACATTTTTTTCCCCACAAGTCTGAACTAAATCCTCCAGCCACAGACACCATCATTTGCAATCTTGCACGACGAGGTGGCCGAGAGGTTAAGGCGATGGACTGCTAATCCATTGTGCTCTGCACGCGTGGGTTTGAATCCCATCCTCGTTGGTGAAGTGTGAAGACTTACTGATGATGACCATTCTGCCAGTAAGCATGTGGTTTATTCCTTTTGAAATCTCTACTGGAATAAGTCAGATAACTTACTTTCTTTCCTTAAAAGGTTCTTCTTCTTCACACACAAGTACAGCTTTTCATTTTCCAGTCAATATTCCCCAGTTCAAAGGGCTGTGGGTTTTAGTCAGAGCTGTTGTCTATTTGTCTGAGTAACACTGCTTTGTGAAATGAAACGTTGTCCTGGTGATCATTTTGAAAATGTTTCATAACGTTTGAGAATCTCTGCTACATCTTTATGCATTGGAGAATCACCTGTGTCCACACTTTTTCATTGAAGAATCAAATTCTGCAAAGTAATAGTCCAGGGAACAATGCTCAGCAGACTTACACTCTTGCATTTGTAAAATAATGCCCAAGCAACTCTTGAATCAACATCTCAGGAGCACTGATTGGATGTGGCATTATTTTTATAAAGTCATAGAGAAGAGACAACCAATATCTGCATCTGAAATTCTCTCCACTGGGTCTTTTATTGCTTTTTTAAGCGATTGAAGTCACGCAATTCCATTTTTTTCCAAGTGTGAACTAATGATTAGGGCCACAGGCTTACCAAAAGTCCTATTTTTGCAGGACGAGGTGGCCGAGTGGTTAAGGCGATGGACTGCTAATCCATTGTGCTCTGCACGCGGGTTTGAATCCCATCCTCGTCGCTCAGGGCGCATAGCTGATAGTGACCATTTTGCCTGTAAAAGCATGGTTTATTCCTTCTGAAATCTCTTGTGGAATAAGTCAGGTAAGTTACTTTCTTTTTTAGAAAGGCTTTCTTCCTAGACAATCACATCAAGTACAACTTTTCATTTTCCAGTCAATATTCCCCAGTTCAAAGGGCTGTTGGTTTTAGTCAAAAAATTATCTATTTGTCTGAGAAACACTGCTTTGTGAAATGAAACTTTGTCATGGTGATTATGTTGAAAAACGTGTCATAACATTTGAGCATCTCTGCTACATCTTGATGCATTGCGTAATCACTTGTGTTGAGATTTTTTTTTTTTGGATCAAATTCTGCAAAGTGATCGTCCAGGGATCAATGCTCAGCAGACAAACACTCTCAAATTCGTAAAGCAATTGGCCAACAACTCTTGAATCTACATCTCCAGAGCACTGATTTGATGTGGCGTTATTTTTATAAAGATATAGAGAAGAGACAACCAATATCTGCATCTGAAATTCTTCCCACTGGGTTCTCATCTGCATTTTGTACTGAGTGAAGTCACACTATTACATTTTTTTCCCCACAAGTCTGAACTAAATCCTCCAGCCACAGACACCATCGTTTGTATTCTTGCACGACGAGGTGGCTGAGAGGTCAAGGCGATGGACTGCTAATACATTGTGCTCTGCACGCGTGGGTTTGAATCCCATCCTCGTCGTTCAGGGCGCATAGTTGATGGTGACCATTTTGCCTGTTAAAGCATGGTTTATTCCTTCTGAAATCTCTTGTGGAATAAGTCAGGTAAGTTACTTTCTTTCTTTAGAAAGCCTTTCTTCCTAGACAGTCACACCAAGTACAGCTTTTCATTTTCCAGTCAATATTCCCCAGTTCAGAGGGCTGTGGGTTTTAGTCAGAGCAATTATCTATTTGTCTGAGAAACACTGCTTTGTGAAATGAAACTTTGTCATGGTGATTATGTTGAAAACATGTCATAACATCTGAGCATCTCTGCTACATATGTATGCATTGCGTAATCACTTGTGAGATTTTTTCTTTGAGGATCAAATTATGCAAAGTGTTAGTCCAGGGATCAATGCTCAGCAGACTAACACTCTCAAATTCTTAAGGCAATTGTCCAACAACTCTTGATTCAACATCTCCGGAGCACTGATTGGATGTGGCGTTATTTTTATAAAGTCATGGAGAAGAGACAACCAATATTTGCATCTGAAATTCTCTCCACTGGGTCTATTATTGCTTGGTGAAACGATTGAAGTCATGCAATTCCACTTTTTTCCAATTCTGAACTAAAGATTACGGCCGCAGGCGACGATAGTTGTATTTTTGCAGGTCTAAGTGGCCGAGTGGTTAAGGCGATGGACTGCTAATCCATTGTGTTTTGCACGCGTGGGTTCGAATCCCATCCTCGTCGTTCAGGGCGCATAGTTGATGGTGACCATTTTGCCTGTAAAAGCATGGTTTATTCCTTCTGAAATCTCTTGTGGAATAAGTCAGGTAAGTTACTTTCTCTCTTTAGAAAGGCTTTCTTCCTAGACAATCACACCAAGTACAGCTTTTCATTTTCCAGTCAATATTCCCCCGTTCAAAGGGCTGTGGGTTTTAGTCAGAGCAATTATCTATTTGTCCGAGAAACACTGCTTTGTGAAATGAAACTTTGTCATGGTGATTATGTTGAAAACGTGTCATAACATTTGAGCATCTCTGCTACATCTTGATGCATTGCGTAATCACTTGTGTTGAGATTTTTTCTTTGAGGATCAAATTCTGCAAAGTGATCGTCCAGGGATCAATGCTCAGCAGACTAACACTCTCAAATTCGTAAAGCAATTGGCCAACAACTCTTGAATCTACATCTCCAGAGCACTGATTTGATGTGGCGTTATTTTTATAAAGATATAGAGAAGAGACAACCAATATCTGCATCTGAAATTCTTCCCACTGGGTTCACATCTGCATGTTGTACTGATTGAAGTCACACTATTACATTTTTTTCCCCACAAGTCTGAACTAAATCCTCCAGCCACAGACACCATCATTTGCATTCTTGCACGACGAGGTGGCCGAGAGGTTAAGGCAATGGACTGCTAATCCATTGTGCTCTGCACGCGTGGGTTTGAATCCCATCCTCGTTGGTGAAGTGTGAAGACTTACTGATGATGACCATTCTGCCAGTAAGCATGTGGTTTATTCCTTTTGAAATCTCTACTGTAATAAGTCAGATAACTGACTTTCTTTCCTGGAAAAGGTTCTTCTTCTTCAGACAAGTACAGCTTTTCATTTTCCAGTCAATATTCCCCAGTAGGAAGCCCTGTGCGTTTTAGTCAGAGCTGTTGTCTGTTTTCCTGAGTAACACTGCTTCATGAAATGAAAGGTTGTCCTGGTGATCATTTTGAAAATGTTTCATAACGTTTGAGAATCTCTGCTACATCTTTATGCATTGGAGAATCACCTGTGTCCACACTTTGTCATTGAAGAATCAAATTCTGCAAAGTAATAGTCCAGGGAACAATGCTCAGCAGACTTACGAGCTTGCATTTGTAAAATAATGCCCTAGCAACTCTTGAATCAAGGTGTCAGGAGCACTGATTGGATGTGGCATTATTTTTATAAAGTCATAGAGAAGAGACAACCAATATCTGCATCTGAAATTCTCTCCACTGGGACTATTATTGCTTTTTGAAGCAATTGAAGTCACGCAATTCCATTTTTTTCCAAGTGTGAACTAATGATTACGGCCGCAGACGACGAAAGTTCTATTTTTGCAGGACGAGGTGGCCGAGTGGTTAAGGCGATGGACTGCTAATCCATTGTGCTCTGCACGCGT